GTTTTATATAATATATATGGTGACAAATAAAAGTTTGGATAACTTTTCAAAAGGACAAACATTCAGTAAGAAGTGTTTCAATACTTTTTGCAATTAAAAGCTTACAATTTCTTAACATTAATTGGTACCAACATGGTCTACTTTGCAAAAATGGCAACACACAAAATCATTTCTTTACTAAAACCTCTAATATTAGAGGTAATGTCCACATGTGGATTTACCAAGAGTTTTTWGCCTTGTTTGTTGTGGTTTTAAATGGGTTATATACTGTCCAGTGCAAATAAATATTCCATCCTCTATATCTCTAAAACCACATCAGCCATTTTTATACTTACATTTCTGATGAAATCTCCCTGGTGTTAGCTTTATTTTGATACCAAAATTATTTAAGTAGAGTTTGGAATTGTTTTTAATAACCTTTGAGTTCACATTAACTGACTATTCAGCTATTGAGAGTAAATTTCATTACAGTAGATGTTTGTCTGAGAATGCTGTAGCCAAATTTAAAGTATCTCTTCCAGTTTTATTTCCCTCTGTCTTACAGAATAATCTAACAGAGAACAGTATATTACAACTTTAATGCAAACCTCTGTTGATGAAATTGCTCCACTAAAAAAGAAAGTTATCGATCGTAGGAAGCCGACTCCTTGGTTCAATTCAGAGTTACGTTCTTTAAAACAGGCATCTAGAAAACAAGAGAGAAAACGGCGCTCCACTAACTTCGAAGAACCTGGAGAGGCAGCCTGCTGACATATAAGAAAGCCCTTTGTAAAGCTAGAACTGTATATTACTAAGCTTTAATAGAAAAGAATAAAAAAAATCCCAGGTTTCTGTTCAGTACTGTACAGTTGTAAAGTAACTAAGTACAAATACTTTGTTACAGTTACCTTACTTTGTTACAGAAGTTTTATAAATACGAGCCCAGGGCCCGTATTTATAAAACTTCTTAGAGTGGATTTTTAGACTTAAGTGCTGGAAATTTCTTAGATTTGCTCCTACTCTCAGACTTAAGTGTAAGTGCCAGTTATCAAAATTCTTACGTTTAAGAATCACTCTTACTCTCAATTAAAGTTCAGACTGCTCCAAAGGACTCTTAAGTGGTTAAGAGTTGCCACTATGGGTGTGAGATGGACTGAAGACAGAGATTACAGCTGTCCTCCTCCCCACCTGAGTCTTATTCTCAGTTATAAGATGTGGAAAACACGTTCAATCAGAAATATACAAAAGAAAGAAAATTAAAATAATAATAATAAAAAAATAAAAACTGCGCATAATGTTGGACTAAAAGACAGATATTTGTGTGTGCTTTTGGATGAATTATTAAATATACTCAGCTGGTGAGTGCACCAATCATGCAACACAATGGGGGGTGTGCGCTCCTCTCTTATCAAGCTGTTGACGCACGGGGTTGTGTGCATGCATGTGTGTGTGAAGCCGGTGTTGTCTGACAATGGCAAAGAGGAGGAGGGAGCTGCTCAACATTACCTCAGGCTCTGAGACAAAAAACTTTAAAGTTGCTGAGTTTTTGATTTAAAAAATTATTCTAATGATGCAAATGAGAACATTTTTTGTAATTAACAGACAATCAGTACAAGGTGACAACATTAGTGTGTTGAAAGTGATTTTATCTTAGGATTTTCACAGTTTTCTCTTGCCATTTATCCAACAATATTCTTGAACATGAAATCCGAGGCAGCGATTGGTCCATGCCGGGGGGGTTTTCTAATAACGTCACCCAGGATCAGCTTTGTGGCACAGCCAGGTGTCGCAAATCAGCTCTAAGACTGACACTTAAGAATTACTCCTACACTTCACTTAAAGTAAGACTGAGACGCTTGATAACTGAATTTTACTCTCAGCTTTTAACTAAGAATTATTTTACACTTAAGTCCACTCTTTTTTACACTTAAGTCCACTATTAGCAGCATTCTTAACCCTGATCTTGATTCAGGAGTTCTGGCCAACTATAGACCTACATCTAATCTCCCATTCATCTAAAAAATTCTTGAGAAAATAGTTGCAAATCAACTACGTGAACATCTGGATAGAAATAATCTATATGAGGAGTTTCAGTCAGGGTTTAGAGCTCATCATAACACAGAAACAGCACTGGTGAAAGTTACTAATGACAGTGGACTTGTGTCCATTCTTGTCCTGTTAGATCTCAGTGCTGCATTTGATACAATTGATCACAATATTTTATTACRTAGACTTGAACTTGATATTGGGATTACAGGAACAGCCCTAAAATGGTTTGAGTCTTATTTAAGTGATAGATTTCAGTTTGTTAATGTTAATAATGAATCTTCTTACACCAGAATTAGTCATGGAGTTCCTCAGGGTTCAGTGCTTGGACCAATCTTTACTTTGTATATGCTTCCTTTAGGTAAAGTTATTAAACAGCATGGGATAAATTTCCATTGTTATGCTGATGATACTCATTTATATTTATCCATGAAACCTGATGAATCCAACAAGTTACTTAAACTACAAGCATGTCTTACAGACTCATGGATGACTCTTAACTTTCTGCTTCTAAACTCAGATAAGACAGAGGTTATGGTTCTTGGACCTGAACATCTTAGGGATCAACTTTGCAGACTTTCACCTCCTCTGGATGGCATTAATCTGGCCTCCAGTTCTAGTATAAAGAACCTTGGTGTTATTTTTGATCAAGATATGTCTTTAACCCCCACATTAAAAATRTTACCAGGACCACCTTCTTCCACCTGCGTAATATYRCTAAAATTAGAAACATTTTGTCCAAAAATGACGTGGAAAAACTGATTCATGCATTTATCAAGTCTAGACTGGATTACTGTAATACTTTATTATCTGGACATCCAAAAAACTCTTTAAGAAGTCATCAGTTAATCCAAAATGCTGCTGTTAAAGTTTTAATGAGATTTGGAAGGAGAGATCATATTTAGCTTCTCTCCACTGGCTCCCTGTCAAATTTAGAATAGAATTTAAAATATTACTCCTAACATACAAAGCTCTTTACAACCAAGATCTATATATTAAACATTTATTGTTCCATACTTTCCTAACAGAGCACTTCGCTCTCAGACTGCAGGTTTACTTGTGGTTCCTNVARTKTCTAAAAGTAGAATGGGAGGCAGAGCTTTCAGTTATCAAGCTCCTCTCTTGTGGAACCAACTTCCAGTTTCTGTCTGTGAAGCTGACACTCTGTCTACTTTTAAGATTAGACCGAAGACTTTCCTTTTTGATAAATCCTATAGTTAGGCTTAGGTTTCCTGAGTTATTCCTTAGTTATAGTTATACTGCCATGTAGGCTTAGACTGCTGGAGGACAAACGGACCACATTTCCTCACTATTAACTTCACTCTCCTCTACAAGTTTGTCATAATTACTTCTATCAATAACGTGATTTCTTTGTTTTTCTTCCAGAGGTAAATACACCTGAACCAGTCCTATGTTTGTCTCTTTCCTGTCCCAAACCCAGCCGGTCGAGGCAGATTGCTGCCTCTCCTGAGCCTGGTTCTGCTGGAGGTTTCTTCCTGTTAAGGGGGAGTTTTTCCTCTCCACTGCTGTCTGTGTGCTGCCGAGGATGGGAGACTGTGACGAAGCAAAGGTTTGGTGCAGTCTGCTGGCTTCTTTAGATTTTTTTTTTTGACTTGTCATTTCAACTACTGTATGTCCTGTTGTATCTGTCTACTGTACAGCACTTTGGTTGGCCTTGTGCTGTTTAAAGTGCTTTATAAATTAAAGTGGTATGGTATGGTTTGTTTTTTGTATACAGTGCCCTGAGACAACAGTTGTGACTTGATGCTATATAAATAAACTGAACTGAATTAAAATGCTGATACAATTATATTTCAGCATGGCATTTTGAGCAAAAGTATAAAGAAAATCTGTTGGGGCTGAAGTGGTTAAGCAGCATTTTGTGAAAAGGTGAAATTGCTGCAATCTAAAAAATGTCACAGGTTTGAGCCCCCAAATGACCACAGGAAAACAAATGCATAAGCACACTAGTTCAGTGAAAGTCATTCCAGATAATTTTTAAAGAATGTTACAGAGGATAGAAAAGTGCAGCCAAGAGAAAAAAAACTCCCGAGAATGATCTTTTCTACTAAATATTAACATTTAAAATCTCCTCAGTTTTTTTCCCCCGGACTTCTCTATTCAGCATTAGCAAGTAAAGTTGTTTTAAATCTGATTGGGATGAAATTCTTGCAAATGAATGTGGCTCCATCTAGTGGACMCATTCACCTTGTTGAACCACACACACAAAAACAGCAACGTATTTGCAAAAGTATGAAAAGTTGTTTATTTTGAAAATAGTGTATATTGTGATTTGTTGCACATAGTGTATATTGTGATTTGTTGCACATAGTGTATATTGTGATTTGTTGCACATTTCCTTTTAAAAGTGGTACATCTTTAAAACAAGTGAATGTCATTTAAAAGCAGTGCTCTGTTGAATTGTGTTCATGTGAAAAAAATAAAAATTAGTATCTTGTGTCTTTAGTGAGAGATCCTGCAAAAGAAAAAAGGCACGAGTTTAATTTTAATCACATTTTACAATAAGTCTGTCTCAATTTAAAAGTGGTAGATCAGATCTTTTCAAGTACGAGTTTTCAGAAGGCTTACAAACAATAGTTGAAAGAGCTAAACTGGTAAAATTTTAATTAAGTTATGACAAAATTAGCTTATAGACTAAGTTTAGTCTCAAATGTAATAGCAGTCCATGTAAATGCAAATAAAATGTTTCTATCAATTACTCAGTTTACACAGAAATATTTGTTAATTTGCAAGAGCAAACAGTGGAAGCAGCARCAAGCTGTAGCACTTTCAGTAGATWCATTTCTGTAAWCAATCATGTAATACAAGAGTGATGTAAAAGGTTTATAAAAGAATACTCTAAAGAAATTCACAATTTTACCATGTTCTCGTTAAGACCAATAAGATTTGTTTTGTGAGGTTCAGACTAAAATGTATTTGATGGAGCAAGAAGTAAAACACCATAATCAAACCTTGTGTTTGTGCTTTTTTGTGATCAATATGTGATGTGGGTTCACTCGGTGAGCAGTCACCATCAAGGCTGGGTATCACATCCGTCCATGACTTTTCTGTTGGAGAAAGGGAGTTTTTTTATTATACGAAAAAGCTCATTTTGTAAAACAAAAAATAAATCATTTGGTGATCAACTTTCTAAACAAATAAAKTTCAATGAGAAAATGAGCATGAACTGCATTAAACCCAAATGGAATAACTATAATCGGTTCTTAAAGACCTGGATCAAGTTGAGTTCAAGTCCAGTTTGTTTTGAAGGCCTTTAGCATTAAAATATAGAATTGTAAACCAGTGACCAGTTTAAATTTGCTTACCAGATTGCCAGCTKCGTGTTAGGTATATCTGATCCGCGTTCCTCCGTTTGTTCTTGATGGAAACTGGCCTGGCGCAGTTCTCGTCCATTTCTCGGATGGTGTTGCCATGTGGACAGTGGTGCAGCCTCTCCAAAGCGACAGAACGGTGCTGCAGGTCATCACACGCACAGTTCAGTAGCTTTGGGTAGATTACAGCAGAAGGTCTGTTATTTTGTTTGGGTGTCAACGGCCTCTTAGGCTCCGTAAGCTTTACGGCGCCATTAGTGGTCCTCTGTTTTGGGGTGGTCCGGCAAGAGCTGTTTCCAGAAGAGTCGCCCTCCGCGTCACATCGGTGAAAGTCTTTTCTCGGTCGCTGCTTGGTGTGAGATCTACATGTGTCACATGTTGGTAAGAGACAATCGTTCCACTGCTGGAAGGGAACAGCTTTTCTCTTTGAGCTGTGGCCATCACACTCTGAAACGGGAGACGTGCACACCCTGCGYTTTGCCATACATCTGGAACACAGTCGTTCCTTATTGGACAAGTAAGGGCTGAATAAGTTCTCATTGAAATTTCTGCCGATGCAGCACTCATGGTCAGAGAAGCTTTGCCGATCCTCCTTCCCTTTGGGTTTGTACCTCTCTTTTGGCTTTCGAATACAAGGTTGCTCTACATAGTCCGTGTCCAGCTTCCTTCGTCTCTTCGGCACATTGGAATTGTGACTGCTCAGTGGCCTGTTCTTCTTAGGAGCTGATGGCATTTTGTTGCAGTAGTAGCTGTGATCAAAGTGAGAAAGCCAGCTGGTAGAAGGGAGGGAAGCAGGCAAGGATTCAAATGACGTGTCTTGATTCTCATCGTCATTTGTTTCTTGCTTTTGTTGACCTCCGCCTGCTTTAAGAGGCAAATTGTCCAGTGCCACCAAATTGGGTGAAGGCACCACCTCTGCTGAGTTCATTAGCTCAGACATGGGAGAATCTTCTGCGGTGAGGCAAATATCACCCTCAGAGGTCATCATTTCACTCCCCATCGTCTCMACAAGAGGAACCTCCAGTTCATCCTCAGCCAGAGGAACCATCTCAATCACCTGGACAATCTCTATAGGAGCCTCCTCGTTCAACACMAAGACCTCTGGTGCTTTTGTTTCTGTTGCAGCCGTCTGTGAGATGCTGTTYGACTTCACAAAGCTGTTTTGGATCAGTAATTCAGGGGAAGAAATCAAAGTTTCTTCTGCTGACCAGACTGCAGACTCCATCTTCCTAAGTTCATCCAGATACTTTGGATCAAATGGCAAGTGRATGTCTTTGAGGTGGAATTTATTTGCAGTGACACCAAAATCACCATTTGTGTCCTCAGCTTTGGAACAAGGCACCTCTTCAAATCTTAAGCTAGAGTTTTTACGTGTAGGATTTGTGTGGTTCCCAGGTTCCTCCAGTGTGAGGATCTTCTCAGTAGCACTCAATTTACCAACCAACAGGATGTCAGGGCAAACTTGGAGTTCTTGTTCAGCCTGGTCTCCAGGAAGTTTGAGCCCCTCATCTTTCAGGCTCCGAAGAAGGGAGCTACATTGGACCACGTCTTGAGAAAAGCTGTGGGACACGTCTGCATTTTCATGAGCATGTAGCAGTTGTAGTCCCACAGGCGTGGTGCAGCATTCGATCCTCACCTCCTCTGTTTGAATCACAAAGCTGTCATTCGATGGAGTCCTGGTGGCGCTGGAAGTAGGTACATTCTCCTGAAGCTCTGAAGAACGATCCTCCTTTTGTACAGCCAAGACTGGTGAGAGACGCTGCGCAGTGGGGACACTGGAAGGGTTGTTTAAGTTCTTGAGGGAACTTTGGACGCTGGTCCTGTGAGCCGATTCAAGGGGCTCAGTTTGAACCTCGGAGTTGGTCATCGCTTTGGGTGAGGAGTTGTGCTGGTAGCGGAATCTGCGGGTGTGGTAGGCCATGGTCTGGTAATGCTGGGGGTTTAGAACACGTCTGTAATCCATCAAATGTAGGTGAGTGTGAGGAACAACAAAGCCAGGTGACTCCATGTAAGGGTTGGGCTGGTAGTGGGGCATCATTGGGAGGCCGTAACCTTTAGAATGAGACAAAAAGGTTAAAACCAAACAGTCAGTGAAGTTCCTTGCAGTTCAAAGAGAGATAGTTGGAGCATTAAAGCCATGTTCCAAATGTTTAAGGGAAGGCATTAAGACATGTTCTGAGGCAGATTCAGGATTTGAGAAATTAAACACGTTAGGAACACAACATTCCCCTGACACAAAAAGATGGCAGAGGTAGCTGGGCAGAATGATATCTGGGAAACTTTACAGGACCTTTAGTTTGGTCTCAATACCAACCTTAAGTGTTAAAAAAATCTATTAATTTTCCTAAGCGTTTATCCAACTTTTCTTCCAAATCAAATGAACAGCCAGTAACACACTTTTCTTTATGATGAGTTTTTCTGTCAGCACAATACTTTATTCATGAAAAGACCCCATCTTTACAGATAAGCAGGTTTTCTTTATATTGTTAGCTATTCTGGCACAAAACGAGATACAGTTGGGACATTGATTCTTGCTCCACTGTATCTCAGAACATATTCAGGCCTCTATGACTGACTTTTATAGGCATCAGTAATTTGAAAAATGTCCACAGCACTTATTTATGAATTAACGTTCAGTCACAAAAACCCTAAGCCAGAACAAACAATCGAACAAGAGAGAGACTAATAGTCCATTATTGCTAAATATTTAGAATTTTGCTGATTTAATTTAAAAATTAAAATAACTGGACAAGTTTTGGTGGCATTTCAACATCCGAATTTATCTTGAAGGCACCATTAAAATGACGCTGATCACCAACACCTGGAGATTGTTAGCAAAAGTATTGTTTGCATAAACTGTATAATCTCCATACCTTTTTAATTTTAATTAAATGAAATACTCATCTTAAAAAGTAGTTTAAAGGTCACCACTGGATGAATACAACTAATAGTGATGGAGCCAAAATACTTTTTTTTTTAAATTAGCCAAATATTTCAGATAGAGTGCTCATTTATCACTTTGACTTCACTGAGATTTACCATTGACAATTTAACAAAGTGGTTTTACCAGGACCAACTGCAACAACAAAAAATATCTAATACTAAAAAGAAAACGAAGTTTTAAGTTCTTACCTAAGCCATGGTAGCCATAGTATGGGTTGTAGGACACAGGCATGGGCAAAGCAACAGGCCACTGCAGACCCTGCATGGGCAGGTATGGCTGCTGCGGCTGGATGTAGAAGTATGGTTTGTGGTGCTGCTGCTCCTCAAGACGAGGGGGACCTGCAGGTGGTGGAGCCGCCTGATGGGGTCCCTTTGTCGGGTCAGCACCAAGTTTCGGGTTTGGACCTCGAGGGCCCAAGCCATAAGAATGTTGCCAGTTAGATGTGGCTGCAGCCATAGCTGAACAAAGATAAAACATAAATCATAAAACAAAACCATTTGCTTCCTGGCAATAAAACCAAAAGTCTTTACCTACATGTGAGAAAGAAGACATCCACAAACAAACCAAGACAGTTTCCTTTTGGGGCGTCAGATTGGAAATGAAAGACTCATAAAGTGGAGACTAGTTTGTCAAATGCTTCACTGATTGGGTGTGTGTCAGTTCCAGGTGAAGATTGTCCAATGTTAAATGAGTTGCAATCAGAGCCAACGGAAAGACCTGCAGCTGCTTGCCACCAGATTTAATGGGACATTCTCTTACACTGACTCAAAATGATTGTTCATTTTCACCATCTTTGTTGAACTCACTTTCTTCTTCTTTGTATTTTGGTTTGCCTCAAAGTGAAACAAAAAATGCAAATACAGAAAAAAAAAAATATATATATACATATAATTCTGTTTTGACCTCTGAGGACTGATTTGTGAGGTCTTGTGGAAGCTCTCTGTTTAGGCATAAACTACAAAGATCAAAACAATTTGTTGATTTGATTTTAAATCAGAGCTGAACTTCACTTCAGATAAGTTTTCTGTGGATTCTCTTTTTAACACGCCCTGATGTGTTACTAGAATATTCTTCTCTGAAACTATTGGCTGCTCTTCAACCGATAATCAGAGAGTAAACTATAAATAATTCTATAGAGTGCTTTAGATCCTTCATAAACTGAGGCAAATAGTGTCCCGACCCTTTTATTGGAGAACTGCTCTAACCACTGAGTCACAGTCAAAAGACACTGCCCAATTTATTAGAAAACTCTACTGAAACAATTTTTTTAAGAACCATAACCACGTGTTCCCCTTAAATGATTTACTTTTAGATATATCACGAAGCCTCCTTGTCTACAAAAAATATAAGAGATGGATGTCACCTGAATACATGTACTTCAGCCCCCAGCACCACCTTGAGATTCTATCCTCAAAAACTGGAAGCAGAAAAGCCTCAAAATATAATCTAATAAAATACATTTAGATATGAAGATGTGAAGCCAGAGGATGGCAGAGCGTCCTCTAGTGGGAGGACAGTCATCCTGATGTTTAGCTGTTCTGCTTTACAGAAGCCAGTTAAAATGCTTAACATCTTTCAAGAACAGAGATGTTRAACTAAGGATGGTTTCTCTAAAGTAAAATGTAGATGTTGTGAGTAGTTTATATCAAACCAAGGATTGATAGATGAAAATTTTATTTGAAGTTTCAGGTGGTTAACACAGTCTTGCAATCTGGATCTGTCTCTCTGAGAGCAACCATAATACTTATGTATTCCTAGTTACCCCTACAGCAAAAGTTGTACACAAAATTATACTTTGAGCTCTTCATGGAGCATGTTTTCACAACACTGGTAGACATTCTGACCTCAGACAAGTACAACACTGTGGCCTCAACAGATCAAAACACTTATAAAACGAGACATTTGTTTAATTTGTGATTTTTGGTCCAAGATAAAGGCAAAGTATTGTCCAAGTATCACATCTTTGTTTCCTGAACATCAGGTCAAATGAAAGAGTTTTGAAATTGATTTTGAATCAGTTTAAATCTGTAGACCTTGGTATATTAAAAAAAAAAAAGGTTTATGATACAGGAAAGTTAAACCAGGATAAATATTTGCTTTATTTAAGTTTAATAATCTGATGTGGTATCAAAGAACTGACGTGCAAACGTAGGACTTGACCCCCAACTTTGGAGATGCTTTCAAGTCTTATAGTTTGGATGTTTGTGTTGTTAAAGAAAATTAGGGTTTTGCTCCAATGCTTCTTTCAAGCCAGGTTTGAGACACCTTGCATCAGCATGGCTATAGAAGGGCTGAAGAGGGACAGGGGGTCAGCCTGCTGCAAAAATACCTTTGAACTGCCAAGCTAGGTAGTGACAGAAAAGATTGTGGCTTAAATATGTAATAGCGATGACAGTGTGTGCAACCAGCCAGCCACAGGACTGAGAATAGTTTTGACATGTTTTATGAGAATTGATCCACACAAACATCACTGCCTCCTATAGTTTATTACTATGCCACCAGGAAAAGTGGGCAATAATGTAATTGCATGTTTGCACATATTTAACCATTATCTCATGAACCAGTGGATGGAGTTTACTGAAACTAGATGAACATCTACAACTGATTCAACTTTCAGAGTTAACCCTTCAATATGGCCACCACAGCTAAGCAACCTTAAACAAAAATGGCCAAAACCTCAGGCAGTGTTGCAGATATGTGGTAGTAGTTTGAGACTCATCTCTAAAGATGATTTAAAACCTGGCAAGTGATACAAGTTTAATATTTTCAGAGCCTCTCTTTACTGCCGACGTTTGGATAATAAAAGACCCACCACAAAACTTTATTATTTTTATTGGACTGCCCCAAACAGTGGCACAACTTTGGCAACAACCTTTCAGCCCATTTTTGTGATATTCAGTTTTGAGTAGTGTAAGAGCAGAGTAACTGCAAAACTTTTTTTTTTCTTTTTGAACAACGTGATGCTTCTCGTGCGGTGCACTTCACCTGGTGCTCTAAATATCTTCATCCCTCACACCTTTTAGGGGGACCTGAATAACAATAAGAAACATTAAAGTTGATGACAAATGTGAGATTTGGTTTTCATCCAGTGTGATTGTAACTTACAGTTCAACGTTTTGTTCAAAAGTCTGTCGAGGAACATCAACATCTCGGTTCTCTTACTTTAGAGCCTGAGAGAAAGAACTTGTTTAGAATCTCCACATTCAAAGTGGTACAAGTTGAAAATAAAAAAAGGTCAAATAGTTAAAATACCTCTTTCCCAGTGTAACAGCAGTGCCTCGTCGTCATTATGGTCCTCATCTTTAGGTCTGTGGTACATCAGTTTCCACTGAGGGCTCATCTCTGTTCAGATGATTTCAAATTTAAAATAAAAAATGTAATATGAATAAGATTTTAAGCACAGCTGCTAAACTGAAAACATTCAAACAGCTGATGGAAAAAAATACAGACAATATGCTTTGACATTTGACCATCACTCCATCAAACTGAGCTCTGAGGTACTTCTGGTGTACTCAGTCCCTTAACCTGTTATTCTGCTAAAAACAAGTCGTCAGAGTTCAACGAGGGGTTTTATTTGTCTACGATAATTATTTATTTTGGTTTCACTGACCCACTGAAAAAAAAATTTTCCAAAATGTTTTTTGTGGAAGAAGTTTCTTTTGTTAAAAACTTAATTTACCTTCATTTTCCCTTTTTTCTATTTTTAAAAAGAGCCATTTAACTGAAAATGGCATCAAATTAAATCAACCGTTTTCCCAGTGACCCTTTAAATAGGTAAGTTTATGTGAACATTGTTTTATCTGCATTAGTTTCAAATTTGATAATGAACTAAAAATTATTTTTTTCCCCTTGGGGGGGTTGGGGGGGTGGGGGGGCTATGAAATAGCAACGGCTAGCAAAGCGTGTTGATGCTTATCTTAATCACTTGACACATTTTACATGCCATTGTTGGTTGTGGAGCTTTGTTTACAAATGTACACATGGTTTTTAAATTGTTTATTTCCTGTCTTTCCAAAACTCTTGATGCTCCAGTTTGGCGACTTGAGCCTTTTAACATTTAGATCCCTTTTCTGCTACTTCTACAATGGAATTTATAAAGTCTTATTTTTAGGATACAAGACGATTTGTACAAAATAAAATGTGGATCCTTCCCTAAAATTACATAGAAATATCTTGAACATTAAGTTATAAGCAAAAAATAGATAAAGCAAATTGATCACAAAGGCCACATTAGTTCAGCTGTAAGTTGTGGGAGAAATGAGCTTGATAACACCTAAACATCCATAACATCCTTCATACTTGAGATAATCACATGACTTTGGTGTTATTGTAGGATTTTTAACGTTCTTTGAACCTGACAGATTAATAGTGTGGAATTTAAAAAAAACGTATCCACATCCTTTTCTCTGTATAAATAAAAAAGGGGAAAATAAATAAATAAAAAGGCATTTTTATTATATTTGTCTTAATTTTGGGCCAATACAATTGTGTGAATAAGAAGGCTGCTTCAGAATTTGCAGTCTGTCGATTACTATAACTAAAATATATGAAAAGAGTTAGTGACTCTGCTGAATATGGGATGCCTTTTCCTAATCAGCAAAGTCATGCACCATTAATATGTAAATCCATCTGAAATGATTTAGAAAGAAGCAGCAGCTCAAAATGGAGCCAACAAGTTGATCTGTGCATTTCAGATGGATCTTTGCACATAAATTAAAAAGAAATGCTCAGACACGCCCATAAACAGCAGCTAAACTTCACCTTGTCGTTGCAGCGGTCCTGCTTGTCTCCTCCTTGGAATTACGTCTCCCTCAGTCCATCCATCCGTTATGCTCAGATCTTCTCTGCAGTCTCCTTCTGTGAATTAATAAAACACACAAAAGAAAAATAATGTAAAAATATCCTCTGCAACACCAGAGTTGAAATAAAATATACTGGTTCTGGTCCTACCCTGACATGTCCAACACTGCAGCTCGCTGCTGTCCAACTCTTCAGTCCCAGTTTCAGCAGCCTCTGCCTGATGTTCCCCTTGCTTCGCCGGCTCGGACAGCTCTTTGTGCTGGCTTCTTTTACACCAAGGCTTAGCTGTGTGTCTCTGTGGCGTGGGTTGAGTCTTCCTGGGTGTAGAATGCTTCCTCACAACCACTCGGAGAGGCTGCTCGCACCCTCTTCCGTGCCTGCCCTCCTCTTCAGAGTCTTCAGCTTCGTCCCGGTGCATTCTGGAGCTGTGGACTTTGCTCCTCGCTGCTCCTTTTGCAAGACTTCTCCCACAACAAGAACAGACGACCCTTTTTGTATACGGCAGCCACAGTTTGAGGGGATCGTCTGCTGCTTGAGGGGAACCAGAGAAGTCCGTGAGCTTGTTACCAGTGTACACGCGCTTCGGAAAAAGATCATCATCCAGATCCGTGGAGAACATTTCGTCCCGGGAAGAGAGCTCATCCAAAGATGGGCTGAGTACGCTCATGCGTTCATGCGTCACCTGCATGGGGAGGTAGTTATAGTAGTACAAGGCCGATTGAGGGGACAGGCACCCACCTCCAGGTGTCACAACACGATCAAAGGGCAGTTTCAGAATCTGGCAGCCTTCATCAGGTTTAGCTTCATCACAAGAGGTTCCCAGATCCACCTGTGAGACTTTATCACTACCATCTGCCTTGTTAGGTGACAGCATACTGGAGGGAAACGATCGTGCGGCCTGCAGGTCAGCATCACATTTGAAAACACTCGAGTCGGACACCGAGATATTTGTCTGGATATCTGTGACCACCTCTTCCTCGAGTGAGATCAAGTGTGCGTTTAATCTCTGCTCAGAACACTCCTCGTGGAGAGAGGAGCTGTCAAGCGGCAGCTCCTCCTCTAGTCGTCCTGCCCAGCCCTCCTGTGGACTTGGTGAGTCCAAGATCAAACGGCTGGACTCGCTGTCGTAGACCGCCGCAGTGGAGGCGAAGGTCACAACCGGGGACTCCAAACAGGCATCATGAGGCGCTGAAGGTTGGGTGTGATCCCGCTCTTCCATTTTCTTCTCTCCTGGAGAAAACAAACCCGACGAGTGCGAAGCAACGCCAGAGTCAAGCTCCCGGTTGGCACTCTGCAGCTCCGTGACTCGGATTTTATCCAAGCATTCGATGAGCTTGCTTATGGCATCGCTGGGGTCAGTCTGGGCTCCCGAACAGGTCGTTTCTCGACGCCCATGAGGCTGGGGGTAATGCTGCTGACGGGGCACATCACCCCAGGCCGGAGGGTGTTGGAAACGAGGCTCAAACATCCGCCTGTAATCCATCGGATATATCGGAGCGTGTGGTAAAACAAAGCCAGGATATGGCCCATATGGGTACGGATGCATGCAGGGACGGCCGAGGTTAAAACCTAGAAACAGATGAAAAAGCACACATTCCAAATCCCTGCAACATTCACCTTGAAGGCACAAGGGGAAATGTAGTCATACCTGCAGGCAACCCAAAATTATTGTACGGGTTGCTGAGCTGCCATTGAGGGTAGACATAATAAGGCTGAGAAGGTGGCTGAACATAGAAAAAAGGTCTGGGATGGTGACTTCTCTGCTCTCCACTCCCAAATGAATGAGGATGTTGGCTTGCATCTGAAGGGCGCATTAGAACATTTGATTAAAATATAAATGCATCTTATATTTGCTTATGGTAAATTACTTTAATTTAGTATTTGATATTATAATATTAAAATCAATAATTAAAATGACTTTACCGTCCATTTTTATTGACGTTCTCGCTCAGACTGTAGAAACTAAAACACGCAGAGGGATGAAAACAATCAAATAAACATCCCAAAGCTCCTAGAAATCAAAGACCAGCTTCTCTTTCTCTCTTTTTTGAAATCTTATAAACATTTACAATTTTACCAGAATGAAACAGAAACGCTTTTTCGTGATCAACACCGCATTTCTATTAATGAAAACTGAAAAGCGGCAGCTAATCAACTTTATAGCGAACACCTGGCGCCACTACCACAATTAGTGACGTTATTCTTCTTCTTCTTTTGGTTTAATGGCGGTTGGCAGACTGTTTCAGTGCATTACCGCCACTACTAGACTGGATGGTGGAACTGGAGAAGGCAGGCA